TTTAGCTAATATTATGCCATTTATTTTTATTGCTTGTCAGTTAAATTCAGCCCAATTAATCCTAATTCCTGTCACTTATATAAAATCAATGATAATTGCAGATGTATAACCTCAAGTTCTCAGTCACTTTTGAGACAACAACACATGGATCTAAGACAGAGACAGACTTGTCATTTTACACTGATGTATTTTCTCCAGATGTAGCTAGCAGGTGTGCAGACATGGGAGAAAGACTATTTTGGGGTTGTCAAAGTATCACTTCAGCATTAAGTTGATCGACTGGTGTGTAAAAGCAAATCGGTCATGCTGTCTCCTATGATTTGCCATTTGCTAAAGACTAAAGACTAAACCTAACAGGAAATGAGAGAAGCAGGTCAATACCTCTTATTCTAAGTATTTTGTTAAATAAGAAGTTGTGAAATCAGGTGAGTCAGATGCAAATCGTAACCTTTAAAATACCAAACAAATTTAAAGGTAGAGTTTTACTGCCAAAGTCCTTTGAACAGTCCGCTGCAACACCTATATACTCCACTAGAGGGCAACAGCCTCCACGTTGTTCATGGCTGTGTGGACAGCTTGCCATGAGAAAAGTATGTTCAGATTTTCAACAATCATATCATAGCAGAGTGTATGTTTAATAGAAACCAAAAGTGGGGGGCATTTTTTGGATATTCATGCTGTTTGCAAAATCCAAAGCCTGACTGAATCGATTGGGAACAGGACAGTTCCAAATAATTACCATGTCCAGGAGGGGTGCAGGTAAAAGTGAGTAGGTAATGAGCAGAGTCTGAAATGTTACATGGTAGTCAAATCAGAAAATAGAAACAGCAGCCATCTTTGAAATAAAAGAAGGGGGAAAGGAGGTGTTTAAACTGTTTATTCCCTGTAGGTGTTTATTCATAACGGATACAGCCACCATCACTTTACCCCTTAATGAACTATTATTACAGGGTCTTTTCCAAAATAATCCTCTCCTTTAGTTACACATTACTTTCACCCCACTTTCCTCCAAAACCCTCAGACTTCAGGGTGCAATAAAGGTGATGAATCAGTACATTTTGCCTTGTAAGTATAGAAAATTGTAATAAAAGAAAGTATTAAGGAAAAAGCTATACTGTTTCTGTAGCACTTCAGCTGACATTTATCTGAATAAGCATCTCAGCATGTGCTGAACCAGAGGGTTCAAAAACAGATTTTACAGCCGTCTGGCACCATCTAGTGACTTTTTGTTTGAAACACATTTATCCTCAGAGAAGTCTTGAAATTTTGATGCAGAGTTTGATGAAATAGAACAGTTTGAAGCCTGAGTTTTTCAGGTATGGTGAAAAATGTTGTTGAGGTAATCATTAGCACTCAATTGACACTATAAATAAACCTATTATTTAGTTTATTTCTACCTCTATCTCTCATTGATACATCTGGGCGGCAGTAGCTCAGGAGGTAGAGTGATCGGCCAATAGCTGGAACGTTGGCGGTTTGATCCCCGCCCCATCCCGAGTCTGTCCATTGTGTCCTTGGGCAAGACACTCAACCCATCGTGCTCTTAGTGTGTGTCCTCCACTGGTGTATGATTGTGAATGTTGTGTGGTGATGGTTGGAGAGGCCTTAGGCGCAAACTAGCAGCCACGTTTCTGTCAGTCTGCCCCAGGGCAACTGTGACAACTAAGGTAGTTTACCACCACCAGGGTGTGACTGTGTGAGCGATTAGATGATGTATCCAATATAAAGTGCTTTGAGGGCCTCTGATAAAGCCAATTAAAGTCTGATGCATTATTATATATGTATATTTATATCTAAAATGGACATCACCTTTAATAAAACATGACAGGGTAACAGTTTTAAAACATGCGCAGTATTTTTAAGCTTTGAACATTACAATAAACCACCATGCTGTGGTGAAGTACTAAAAAGGAGGAGTAAATCCAAGCTGTAAGAAAACTGAGACTATTTTCTGTTTTACTGTGACATTTACACCCCAAATCTGACAGTGAGCTGATTTATACTCCTTATTTAATTCATAGGTTTCTAAAAACCTAGACATATGCTGACACTCACCATTGGGGGTGTCTAGAAAATAAATCTACAGCCCAATGATGATGTTCCCTTTGGAAATGCATGTCATGATTCATTGTTAATTTCACTCTTTGCATGTTTTATTAAATATATTAAACATAAGAGTCGGATATTTTTAACACAGCAGTTTTTCTTTTTTATGATTACTTTCAAAAGGAGGAATTTAATGTCTGCTTAACATCGAAAAGTCCCCAAAAATGGGCTAAATGCCATAAAACAGAGCTCTTCTAACTCACGACTTGGTTTCAAAATAACAATCTCAGATCATGTCAAATGTTCTAGCAAAGCTAAATAGGTGTAACTAAAGGCTTAGCAGGAGAAGCATATCAAATCACATTTAATGAACAGTGTTTCACAGATCCATGTCCGTGTGATCATCAAAGAAATCTGAGATAGAGTATCAAGGCTCAGCTGGACCACAGCCAGGATGGATTAAACTAGCTAGTGACCTGACAGCCAGCTTTGAGAGATAAATTGGTCTCTTTGAATCAGTCAAGTATCTTGTAAAGAAATAACGTGGACAAAGATTGGAGCAGAATGAAGGACAACTTCATAAGGAAGACGGTTCTTTCATGAATGAAATATATTCAGCTCTGCATCTGAGACTGAAAGAGAAAAAAAGATTTTTATAGAAGCTTTTATAAATCAGAGCAGAAAGGATATGACAATCTGAAGTGACAACACGGTTATTCATGCTGAAGGTGAACTACTCCTTCAAACCTTTCTTTTGTGTAGCATTTTTACTGCTATGTGGAGGAATTGACGCTTCTGCGTGTGAAGAGGTTAATGGTTTAAAAAGGCTGCAGCACAAAATCAGTAATCTAATCAGTTTGACTAATGAGGAGCTGAACAAAAAATCCTTAATAAATAATGGCCACTTTTACAAGGATCAGTACTGTTGGTGCAGTAACATGAATACCTCGAATGCTCTGGATCTTACCTTGTGTATTTTACAGAGAAAAAGACAATTGGTGACATGTTATTAACAATGAAACCTATTCAGTCGATGTGCTGTACCATTAGTTTTAATTGTACAAGCTGTTGCTAATGATACAATCCCAGATAGTTAGAGGGACATCTTCAAGATAGCATGGTTGTTATATGGGACAAAAGCTATCAAGATAATTGACTGTGATTATGTAACAGACAAATGTGCTGTTCATATCCTATTTTGATTTGACACCATCATATTAAAGCTTTTTTGTGTCTGCCAACTTTGAAGGAGTCCTTTGTATACATAGGAGTGGGTCCCCTTTTGCAATGGCCACCATCTTGCACCACTGTGATTTGTACAGTGGCAAAGAACAGACAGCTAGTAACAGAGGCATTTCTATATTTAGCAAGCTTCTATACAAAATACACCGCTTAAAAGACAAAGAAGAAAAAGGAAGTGTGCCCATTAATGTTTCCTATGGTGATAACTAGACAGATGGTTAAGTTGGTCATAGTTATTACAGGAACATTTTGTCCTCAAAGGCCACCATAGCTTCACCAACCAGAAGGGTGAGCAAGGGGTGTTTTAATCCAGAATTTGACCGCTAAACGCCTCTAAATATTTACAGTGTCTATAAGCAGCTGTGCAAGGTTTGGGATGATGTATAGTGAGCAGGTTGTAAAGGTGGAGGTACACTTGAGGTAAGACAAGAAGCATCAATCAACTATTTTGTTTGCTGACATGAAAAAAAATACTGAGCGACACTGATTAATTTTTTTAGGCTGTGTCCGAAATGGATCCCTAACCCCCGACATAGGCGACTATATGGAGGTTAGCGCCATTTTGAGGGGTGTCCGAAACCTGAGTGATCAATTCGATTGCCCCATATAGGCGATTCAAAATTTCCCATAAAATGCATTGCAAAATGTAGTGACCATCCGATGGTCACTCACCAGTGGTGGGCATCCCACCATGCATTGCATCTTGCCATGTAATGTCCAAAACCTCCGGTGATTGAGTTCACTACATAGTTACCTATATAGTGAAATCCCGGTAACACTTTCTTTTACGGTACACTTATTACCAGGTAATTAACAGGTAATTACCTATTAACAACATGAAATGATCTGGTAATTACATGATAACTACTAAGTCAATACTGTCTAGCTACCAGGTAGGTAACCTTTCATCATCATACAAATTTGAAGCCGAATTGCTCTGGTATTACCAGGATTTTCTCCGCTTCCTGGAACCACCACTTGCGCAGTAGCATTGTACGCAGTCAGCGGGTGAGTTGCTGTGATAATGCTCGGCTCAAACAACGTGTCGCTACGCAATCTTCACACGCCCATAGGCTGAATCAAGTGTCAATCATAGAAAATAAGAACCCCAAATAGCTTTTGAAAATGGAGCTGCACATAAAAACGAAAAATTGAAAAACTAGACAATATTGACTGAGTAGTTATCATGTAATTACCAGATAATTTCACGTTGTTACTAGGTAATTACCTGTTAATTACTTGGTAATAAGTGTACCGTAAAAGAAAGTGTTACCGAAATCCCATATGAGGGTTAAGGGTTTGGGATTGAGTGATTCATTTTGGACACAGCCTTAGTTCATTTTTTTCATGCAGTGTTTGGAACTGCTCTGGGGCCTAGCTGTGCTGAAATTTTAGATAAACCACAACCCACCTTTAAATTAAACTTTTCACTGAGATCCTAGAAGATCTTATATTCATAAATGACACCTGAGTGTTGAGACTATAACAGCGTCAACACAGTTCATATTTTGGGAAGAGATTTGTGCAGGGATGAGATGCATGAACGTATGGGCCAAGGTCAGAATCAATTCATAGGTGGTTCCAGTGGAGGTCACTGTTGTGTGTGAGCTCAGCTGAGCTGTCTGTGTCACTTCAGGACAGTTTCAGCTAAAATCTGTATCAGTTGACCTCACATTTACCTTTTCGGCACCAGATGTGTGTGTTTTGTGAGTATGATGAAGGGCAGATATGTAGGCAGGATCCCCTCTGCAGAGCGGTGGAAAGCACTGCAGCTGCACTTCACATGCACATGCATATTAGGAAAAAGCAAGAGGAGAGAGAGAGAAAGAGAGAGAGAGAGAGGAAGAGGAATGGGCGGGGTGAAGCGGGAGGTGGGGCTTTTGGGGGTAACAAACGCCCCCTCTGATACTTTAATATTCAAGCAGCTTCAACCCAGAGGCTGGCAGGCATCAGCACGGAGACAAGTTGACGGCGACAAGACGCAGTTCATTCATTTTTACACCAGCAGGCATGCTTCATGGAGCCACAAACACTCCTCCCACCCCGTGGACACAGAGTTGTGTCACTTTTCTCGGTGTGTTTCTGAACTTTTCACCGTTACACCGCTATGGACCCGCTATGGACGGACACCGGCGCTCCGGTACGGCATGCAAATACGTACTCTGACGTCGGCGATCATGTGGCTTTTGGCGTAGATCCTCCTTGTGATCGCCAGTTTTTTCTTTCCTGTCGCCTGTTGTCTGCTCGGTTATTGGACCGCCGTCAGAGTGTTTAAAACAGATTGGTGTTATTTCTTGCTTGAGCTGCCGCGTTGGGATTGTACCGCACTACCTGAGCATCGCGCCAAAACGGTGGGCAGGTAAGAAACAGATAAACTCTTGCTCTGTTTTTCTGTCGGCTGCCCTCCACCTCCAAAGTCCCCCAAGTTAAAACTGCATGTAGTTGTTTTTTTGTGCCTCTCTTTCGGCGTGCTCTGCCTCTGCTGGCTCCCCAAACACCCACACGCCTCTGTATAAATATTTTAACTTGTCTAGCCGCATGAACTTTGCCTGGCCCTGCCGTTTACACCTGCCTGCTGAGAGACAATGTGTCCACCAAGTTGTTAATTGGACGTTTTCTCCCCCGTGTTTAAGTTTTACTTCGGTACGTAGTGACCGTTTGTAGGAGCAGACAGAGAGGAGAAAGATCGTGTCTACTTTTCCTCCTCCCCGTGTCGACATAACCAGCAAAACATGGCCGTCCTTTGCCGACATGTTGTTACGTCGATGGCGAGAGGGGGAACATTTGGGGAGAGTGTTTCCTGCGCCCCTCTGTCACATCTCGGGTTGGCCGGTTGAAACGGCCGTTAAAGTCGTAACCGCCGCCGGGATACCCGCTGACTGTGAGCACCGCGGAGGTTTGAGAGCAACTTTTCGAGTCCAGCGTTGTTTATACACTTTGATTTGAGCGACTCCGTGATGTAGGCGTAACGTTACCCCTGGTGATGCCTCCTCCCCTCCGAGACCACTGCTCCTACTGCATACAGACAGACAGACAGACTGACTGACAGAGCTGTAGCATAGCTCACTAACACCCTTTTGGTTGCCGTAGGCCTGTTACAGCTGCGAAAAGTCAGGCGTGGTCCTTTTTTATCCACAACATTAACTTTGCTGATGAACCCAGTGCCCCGGACCGGGGGCAGGCTGTGTGCCGCACTGTATGCTGTGGGAAGTCGGCACACTCTCTGTTGTGACCAGTGTCCTCACAGCACCCAGAGAAACCTGCTGAAGGATGAGCTGTTGTCTGATTATGTCATGGTGATGTATTCTTAATGAGATGGCATGAGCCAAGTTACTGAGAGGATGTTTGAACATTAACAGACAGGCTACAGCAGGGGGATCAACATGGCTGAACCATACTGTTAACACAAAGTGTATAATCCCACAATGCTACAGTATGATCAGGGTGCATATGGCCTTTAAATATTTGTAAATCTGTATCCTCTCCTGTCTGACTCTTGGTTGTAACAGTCTACAGTAACAGCACTGTGCTGCATTGGTGTATTACTCACAGAATAGAATAGGGCTGCATGATTATGGCCTAAATAGTAATAACTAGTATTTTGATCAACATTGAGATCATGATTATTGATCAGTTATTTATTTTATGTTATTGTATGTTATTTTAGGACACATCTATTTTCATCGGGTGTATTGACAGGGCTAGTTTTTCATTACTCTGGAATTGTAGGATGGCCAAAATCGTACCAATTCATTGTGCAGTCCTGCCACTGATCATTTTAATTCTCTAGCTCTATATCGAAGAGTTCCCCGGACATTAATTTGGCTTGTGCTGTGATTAGAGCTGACTGTAAACAAGTGAAATGTAATTTTCCTTCACATTTGATTTTAAAAAGGCACATGGTTCTGGAGTACGTTTGTTGTTTCCCAAAATACTGAAGGAAATCAGTATAATTTCAGTTAGAACCCAGTGCACCGGAAAGTCAAGTTTAGAAGCCTAACGGTATACCTCTGTTGGTGAACATTGAAAAGTAATGACATCTTTCAAATAGACGTTATCTTGCATGACTTAGCAATGTTGTGTGTCAGTTTTCTTCCTTACAAGCCACCGGTTTCCCACAGTGCTCCAGCTTACAAGGTTCCCAGAATAAACAACTATAGGTTTACATGTCAACACAAGATCTATTTCAAGTCACTATTAATTTACAGACTTTTAATAAGTACATATTTCCTTCAGACATTAGTACATTATGTTCAAGCCCAACATAAGTTGTGCTTTTGCTTTTTGGGAGTGTTTGGCCTAATTCAGTATAGCTACAGCTGCCCAACAAAATATCACAGAATAACTTGTTCCTCGTTGGATCGGCCTGAACTGACCCCATTAAGCATCTTAACTGTCAGCTATTATTTAACAGACCCTACTAAATTCAGTTCATAATTTAATGTTCTTTATAGATTTAAAAGTTTCCAGAGTCAGCCCTAGTCTCTGTTAATCCAAAGGGCAGTTTTTGCTTCCACACTGATCCCTGACCTCAGTTTACCTCATATGAAAATGATTACGGAGACTAGGGCTGACTAGTCTCTTACAGAGTTCAGTGTAGCATCGAATACACAAATTCTATTTTGAAAAAACATTGGTGTCACTTTTGTACCTTGTCGGTACACATACCCCAAGTGACTTCTGATGAAACATGTCCAAAAACAGAGACACTCAGGAACGGTAACAACAGCTGGCTCCTATCAGCAGTCACAATCAGATACTGACTCTGACAGCATGTAGGAGAGATTAAAGTACCATTTCATATCTTTGATACTGCTCGCAATAAACAGTCTCTGGCACAGATTTACTGCATTGTAATATTGTACACCTGCGTATAGTCTCAGAGCTCTAATAGGTCTCTACGCTGTCCCTAAAGGTAGACCAATTATCTGACAATGTAGTGTCTATTCTGCTCGCTGCTTCTGAAGCTGTCACCTTGACACTATTCATGTTCTTACTGGGTGTGTGATGAAATATCTTGTTCATTAAACGACATCATACTGGAGTGACCTCTTACGTTGTATTTGTAAAAAAAATTCCTTGATCAACAGTGGAGCTCAATCTGTAAAAGATGTAAGTATGTGTGATCACAGCGCAGTTAACCCCCCTTGTCATACCCGCTACCAGCAACTCCTTTGGGTATAAACTTGGCTTCACTCGCTAAGCCACGCACTCTTGCTCTTTCCATGTGAATAAAAATGTGGCTCGTGTTTGTTCTTCTCACCGTTTCCACTTGTGATCTGCCAAATCACAGATAATGTTATATAATTTGGGATGACAACCAGCTCATTTTCATTGGTGACTGAACAATCAAAGCGTTTCTGTTGATAAAAGTAAACGTTTCCATTTGAAATCACACATTTGTCTAGCGTGTTATGTGGCCAAGCTATGGAAATCCTGCCAAAAGTAGGTGTTTGAATGCGTTAACAATCAGTACACACAATTAACCCAACTGACTAACATTAATTATTTAGGAATGTGTTTTTTCCCCTGGTCCCTGACAAACAGACTTAACCAAGTTAATAAATCTAGAGGATGACAACTTCAAATCTCCGTAGTTAGATTCACAGAAAAGCTTCAATAAGTTGTTTTTACTTCAGTAAGATTAAGTCTGTTTTTAAATAACTTTTGGGGATTGTTTTTCTCAGAATTGCTGAAAGGATTATTGCAATGCACAGATGTCACAGTTCTACCTAGCTATCTCCATAACATCAGCGGTTGTCCCATCATCATCACTGCACTGACTGCAGCAGGGAGTCAGAGAACATCTAAGTAAAGAGGTGTCTAATATACAGCTTGAAATCATTTGGTTTATTTACAGTGAGGAGCTTCCTGAAGAAGTTGCATATAAAATAAATCCGCCTCATTGAATTGCCAATTTCTCCAACAATGCCGTGTTTCTCGGTATACTGTGACCTCTCTGAATGTCACAGCCAAAACATCCTGCTGTGAGACGATCCTCGCGATTTGTTCCTCCAGGCGTCTATTTGTTTGCTGCAGTCAAAAATAAGCATCTCGTAGTTTATCAAATTTTAAATAGAAACCATTAGTGTGGCCTGACAGCAAGGAATTGTGGTATAGTCAACTTTAATTGTGTAAGCATTAAGAGAGAGCGGTCCTGTTGTTGACAGTCACCGTGCAGCCAGATGTTGGATGTGTCAATCATGCTAAATAGAGGTACTGAAACTGTCTTACAGGAAGTCACCTTAAGTAGAAGGTAACTGACAGTTAAACACAAGAAAATGTGATATAACTTTTTGATGAATCCAAGTGAGCAGGAGGCAGACGGTCCTGCTAACATGCCGTGGGAGAGAGAGAGAGAGAGTGTGTGTGGTGTTGGACTGCAAGTGTAAGCTCTGCATCGCTAAAGCAAGGATTGTCTGGTGCGCGGTTTAGAGTGTTTAGTCGTTTCCCCTCAATAACAATAATGTAAAAGCTGTACAGTCAGCAGATGCATACTTTTAGAATAATGGAAAGTGTACATTACAGATGTCTTATATCAGATGTTTTAGATGTTTGCATTTAGTTTTGAAAAGTAGCCAATCCTCTAATGCTTAAGTGCCATCATAAAATGTTACAGCTGCAATTGAACTGAGGGAAAAATGATACATCAGTGCATTATATATTTTCCCAATATCCATCTAGATGGTCTTGGAGTTTAGAGATTCCCATAGTGGGCAGGGTGGTTGTACCCATACTGTGGTTCAGGTTTTACAGAGACCCCTCTTGTAACTCAAAAAAGGCGGCAACAGCAGGTTTTTACAGCAAGTAATTAAGGATGGGTGAAAAATTATCGTCAACAATATATCTTTAGAAATATCTTCCATGATAAACATTTGCCATCTCATGAAAAAAAAGATAAATGCAAGTTGATGACATAAGCACAAGCGACAGAATCTCGCAGCCATAGCCCATACACAGAAGAATAACAAACAAACATGGCCGAAGGTAATGAAGAGGATGTTTCTGAGCAGCTGGTTACTGAACGAGGCTCCACATGAGAGATTTCTTTCAAGATTGGGGCTTAGACGAGTGCAATCAGACATCGGACAGTGAATCTGCTGCTGTTCAAAATGTTTTCACATTGGAGACTCGTTTGATGTCCTTAGTTTTCTCCATAACCTACCACTCAAACTTTTGGGTTAAGTATCTTTTT